TAGATAGATAGATAGATAGATAGATAGATAGATAGATAGATAGATAGATAGATAGATAGATAAAAAAGACCCAGCCCTAGACTGCAGTGTGGGCTGTGTCGAAGCTGTAAGTCACATACCCAGAAAACACCAAAAGACTTGCTGTCAGGTGTAATCGAAGCCAGCAGACATTGTTTGCAAGAGCCATGCTTTCCCTTAAAAGCATCTAAAGCTCTCGTTTTAAGTTCAGGATTGACATTTCTCAAGAGAATGAGATCCCTTTCATAGGCTACTCTGAGTGCCGGAGGAGAGGAGGCAGCCTGTGCCGCTAACCTGCTCTCCATACCTGGAGGGCAGGCACAGGGTTGGGCCTGCCCGGGAACCAGGCAGCCCAGGCATAGTGCCTAGCCTTCCGAAGCCTCATCTACACATGAGAGACAGCATTTCCTGTCTGTAAAGATGAAGGTGGATGAGCTATGCAAAGCGGAGGCATCTTGTAGGTGCTCTAAGCAATGATAAATGATTCCAAAGATGACGGCTCTCGAATGCCAGCCTAGAGATTCGGATTCTGTCTAAGAGGCAGTTGGAGGCTTTTGTAGACCCTCGAGAAAGGAAATGTGATTTAGCGATGTGGTAGAAATGATACTTGAGACTGATTCGTTCAGCTGTAAAGTACAAGAAGGAAAAAAAAAAAGACCCTAGAGAGCCTCTGGCGGTGGGAATGGGCCCTCTTAAATGTGTGAAATTCCAGTTCACTGCAGTGGCTCCACTCTGACGTCTCGGGGTGATGCTCCCCGCGTGCAGCTGTGTCCGGGCTACAGATGGCTGTGTTGTCTCTCACAGGAGTTGGGAGCTGTGGAAGCGGAGGAGGACCTGGCGTCAAACAGCAACAAGCAACATGAGTTCTGGGCTCTGTCTAGTGGCCGAGTCCTCTCTGTTACACACATTTGTTGTGTGAGGCCCCTTCTGCTTCCACATACCACTTCCAGAGGGACGCCGAAGCATGACACAAAGCATTTAGGGGAGACAAACATGGAAGCCATGGACATTTGTCTCCAAACTAGCTTTCAGAAGGCTGTAGCTGCAGCTCAGTTGGTAGACCGCATGCCTGGCATACACGAGGCCCTGGGTTCAGTTTCCAAATTACATAAACCAGGTATAGTAGCACTCGCTTGGAACCCTAGCCCCTGGGAGGTGGAAAAAAGTAGGGTCAGAAGTTCAAGGCTGTTCAAGGCTCTTTGCTAAGTTCAAGGCCAGGAAGATTCTGTCTCAAAAGGAAATAAAAGTAGCTTTCAGATACTCACAGCTGACGTCTGGGAAGGTGCAAGGGCCCCTTGGCAAGAAGCTGTTCTGCTGCCATTGCAGCCTAGGCCAGGCATCCTCTGCAGGCCTCTCTACTTCCTTTTCTCTTGAGAAGCCACAAAAAAAAGCAGAAAATCCCTTGTAACACTCAGAAGTAACAGGAAGGTAACGGCTTAAGAACCCCTAATCCAAATGCTGTAAAATCTGCAACCTACCAAGAGCTGCCATAGGCTACAGGTGGAAAACTCCAAACCAGAACACTTGGTTCCATGTACAGATTTACTTTAAAAACGGTGCAGAATCACCAGGGGCAGGGATAGCTCTGCAAATAAAGTGCTTGCTGGATGGCAGGGAGGAGCTGAGTTTGAATCACGAGAACCACATAATGCCAGGCATGGTAACTCATGCCTGCAATCCTAGGCCTTCTGCAGCGAGATGCTAAACAGACAGTAAAATCCATGGAAGGAAGCTGGTGAGCTAGCTAGCCATGGGCAGCACCCACAACAACAGATCCTGCCTCAAACAAAGTAGAAGATGTGACCTGGTTGTTTGACTCCCACCGTGTCATGGTGTGTTCTCAAGCACACTCAGGCACACACACACACACACACACACACACACACACACACACACAAAATCAGATATGTATGAAGTTTAATGACTTCTACATTTAGACTCCGGTTCCACCTCTAAATGATCTCATAATCATATACAAATACTCCCAAATCCAAAAATAACATAAAACCGAAAGGATTCCTGGCCCCGAGGACTTGGAATAAGGAAGACTCTGCTGATCTCATGTGCTGAGAGCGGCCAGCAGGGCGTCCTGGCTCCCCACTGCAGCTGTGGTCAGTGGACACACACACTAGGTCGGTTCCTGCTGGCTCCATCCCCTGACGTTACCGGAGGCTTCCCACCTCCCTGAGCAACCTGGTGTCTCAGACACACTTAGGTCCGTAGCTACACCCAGCTCTGCTGTCAGTGTGCACCTCGCTGTGGAAAAAATAAACCTTGATACACCAAGGAGCATTTTAGAACATCTGTGTCAGAAACTCCTTTCTCCCACGTCAAAGAACCTGGCTGACTCCCGCTGTAGGCTTTCTGACTGACAAGCTTAAAACACAAAGCTGAGAGGCCGGAAGTGGAGATCAGGGGAGTCGTTTGCCTAGCCTGGGCAAGGCCCAGTGTACCATCACCGTGATAGATGGTGGACTGATTGGTGACAAGAGAAGTGATAGGTAGGTGGGTAAGTAGACAGACAGATATATAGATGATAGATATATATATTCCTTGATAAATATTTTGATACACAGATGCATACATAGATGGTGGATAGACAGACAGATAGGAGATAATTGATGAGTAGGGTGGGTTGATGGGTAGACTCAGAAAGAGTCTTTTTCCTGACTCAGAAAGAGAATCTTGTTCTAGGCCAGTGGTTCTCAACCTGTGGGTCGGGACCCCTTGGGGGATCAAATGACCCTTTCATAGGAGTCGTCTAGGACCATCTGTAAACACAGGTTACATTTCAGGTCATAACAGTAGCAGAATTACAGTTACACCAGAGCAACAAAAGTAATTGCATGGTTAGGAGTCAGCACGACATGAGGACCCATCGTAGAGGGTTGCAGCATTAGGAAGGGTGAGAGCCGTAGCTCTAGTACCTGGTCCCAAAGCAGGGCACACCGTGGATTCAAAGGAAGAGACCACACAGACACATTACGGCGATGACTATTCCCGATTCTTCAGATGTCTGCCCGTGCCATTCAGAGAAGTGGCCTGTTTGTGACTGGAGTGCCATGCCTCTCAAAAGACGTCTTTTCTGTGTATTTTATTAAATCTTACTTAGCGTTACAAAAGTGAACTTTTGTTAGAAAGCCACATTCTCCGTAAAATCTTGATTTTTAACCTGTTTGGAACGTAACTCCTTACAGACTGAGCGCAACCCTGTACATCCTTGGGGGAGGGGTATCAACCCTGCCCTTCCTCTTCTGAATCCGGGCATTTCCTGCACCCTCTGCATGGCTTGATCTGTCCGTCAGAGTCCAAAAACTGTGACACCCAGGCTTTGCTCTAAGTTAGCAAAATTACCTCCAGGAACGTTTTCTGGAGTCATCTGTGTCCAGACATTTCCAGCAGAGTGTGGCAGAAGAAATGGCAGAAGCCGGCTGAGGGCAGACTCAGGCTGCCAAGTAACGCAGGGCACATGGCCCGTTTCCCAAGGTTGCTGCTTTTGTCTTTAAATACCTGTGGCCTGGTGGCTTCTCCACATAAATTACATGCTAATGGGGAGGGCGATCACGTTCTGGGTTCAAAGATTTTCGCAAAGGTGGCAAGTAAAAAAAAAAAAAGATTTAATGCTCACGGCCTCCCAACTATTATTTCCCAGTTAAGTTCATGGAATCTCAAATGTAACCTCAAAATTAGGTGTGTGTGGACAAATATGTATGGGCTGATCAGCAAACACGGAAGTAACTGCTTAATGTCCACGAGTTCTAGGAGTGAGCTGGGAGGTGGGGTGCTGTCTTGTTGTTTTGTCAAGTGGACTTGAAACTACGCCAGGGGCCAGCCGGGGGTCCGTGTGGCCCATGGCTGCCTCCCATACGTGGACTTCATTTGCCCCTTGTCGGCCCGTTCAGCTTTCCTCTGCCTAGCAGAGAATGCCGACAGCCAAACGCCGGGGCCCCTCCTAAGTGAGCCTGTTCTGAAAGCTGTCTGCTTTGTCCCGGGTTTTCTGTTTTCAGGCCGAGCCTGCGCCCTCAAACAAGTGGCAGCTGGATAAATGGCTGAACAAAGTTAATCCCCACAAGCCGCCGATCCTGATCCAAAATGAGAGCCAAGGCCCCGAAAGGATTCAGTACTACCCTGCGCTGAAAGAGGAAGGGCAGGGCTGCGGGAAGCTTGCGGAGATCTGCCAAGCCGGCCTGAGGGACAAGGAGCTCAAGACCGCGTGCAAGGAGGAGCAGCGGCCCCGGACCGCCAACAAGGCCCCTGGCAGCAAAGGTGTCAAGCAGAAGTCGCCGCCCGCTGCGGTGGCTGTGACCGCGGCTGGCCCGCCGCCCGCGGTGCCCGGCGCACCCGCGGAGAGCGCGCCCGCGCCCACGCGGAGGTCAGCGGGCAAGAAGCCCACCCGGCGCACCGAGAGGGCCTCGGCCGGGGACGGGGCCGGCTGCCACCGGCCCGAGGAACCGCCGGCCCCCGAGGCGCTGGGGGCCAGCGTGGGGGGTCCCCCAGAGCCCCCCAAAAGCAGACCCTGCGGTAACAGCAGGACGAGCCACCGCAAGGAGCTGCGCTCCTCCGTGACCTGTGAGAAACGGCGCACGCGGGGCCTGAGCAGGATCGTCCCGAAATCCAAGGAGTTCATTGAGACCGAATCTTCGTCTTCCTCCTCCTCCTCGGACTCGGACCTGGAGTCGGAGCAAGAGGAGTACGTCCTGTCCAAGGCCCAGCCCGCCGCCGCGAGCGAGCAGCGGCTGAAGGAGGCCACCAGTAGCAGCAGCTGCAGCAGCACCTCCCGGGCCTCTGTGGGCTCCATCAACGCCAGGACCACCAGTGACATCGCCAATGACCCCGAGGAACAGTTCTACACGCTGGTCCCCTTTGGCAGGAACGAACTGCTTTCTCCTCTGAAGGACAGCGACGAGGTCAGGTCCCTCTGGGTCAAAATCGACCTGACCCTCCTGTCCAGGATCCCACAACACCTGTCCCAGGAGCCTGGGGTCCTGAGCGCCCCTGCAGCCAAGGATGTGGAGAGCGCCCCAGCCAGCCATGCGTTAGATGCCCCTGCTGAAAAGACTCTGCCAAAATCCAAGAGGAAACGCAAGGTAGGCCCGGAGTTGGGAGGAGAGGGCCCTCTGTCTATCTTGGCACTGGAAGGCGAGGGGTAGGCCACAGACAGTAAGCTGCCGGTCCAGACTGCGGGTGGGTGGCTGAGGCTGTGTGTCCTTGAGTACAGAAGTAATTGTTCTACATCCGTCAGGAGGAAGAGCCACGTTAGAGTTGTGGCTAGTTAAGCACCACGCCTGGCCTGAAGAAGCACTTACATAGGCCACAGTTACCGAGTGCGAGGTGCAGGCTGACTGCCGGGCACAGGGAGACTGAACGTTAGGGGGACAGGGGGACGGGGTGACATTGCTCGTGGCATCGCTCACTGGTAAAAGGCCTCAGAATGTAGGGCTGTGGCAGACATGGGAAGAGGGTGGTGGAAGATGAATATCAAGGTCTCCAAGTTCGCCAGCCGCCGGCGTCAGCTGGCAGTTGCTTCCAGGGGTGAAGGGGGAAAGCCTCACAGTGAAGGATGGGAGTCGGACTCTGAGGAGGAAGGATGTTTGTAGTGGTCTTTGGGTGGCGGGGCCCTGAGGAACGGAGAGGCTGAAGGGGTAGTGCGTGGTTTGACAGAGTTGGAGAGCTGGGGCGGCCTCTGCCAGTGACTGGGGTTTAAAGGTTTAAAGGTTTCTAAGCAAGTACTCCCGTGGTAAAGCCAGATTCAAGGACTTTAAACGATTCCCTTCTATTGCCGTGGTTAAAACTAGCTCGGAGAGACAGCTCCATTGGTAAAGTTGGAGCAAACAGGAGGACCTGAGTTTGACCCCCAGTACTCCTGGAACTCCGGTTAAAAGCTGAATGGCAGGGGTGCATGCACTTTGCATTTTGTCTTCGCAGCTTGATTTTTTTTGTGGGTCCATTTTAAGGGCAAGCAAGCAAAGCCGAGAGAGCCAGGGAGGACCTGCCCAAGGCTGTGTCCGTCGAGTGGGCCAGGCGGTTGTTGAGCTCCAGATTGTCCCGCTCAGTGATGCGCTGGCCTCAGTTCCATGTAGCCAGCTTCCAGTTTCCAAGGACGATCTGTTCTGTCAACCACAGAGCCTCTGCACGCATGGGCTTTACAGCTGCTTCAAATCCTTGATCAACATGAGGGCTTTCTGGGGGGAGGGGAGGAAGTGCAAAATGACTCAACAAGTATGATCTTCTGGGCCGTGCAATTCTGGTAACCTGCATTCAGTCCCAGACTCACCATGGAAGGAGAGCAAACTCGCTGAAGTTTTCCTCTGGCCCCACACACACATGCACACGCACACATGGACACACAATGATGAAATGAGATGACCTGGCAGGAATGTCTATTAGGCAGTTTTTCTGGCCGATATGAAGGTATTCCTCTTTTGGGGAGGGTGTGTGTCAGAAGCCTGTCTCCTCCTGGTGACATCATCTTTGTCACCAGCAAGGGAATTTATTATACTGCCTCAGAATGTGTTTAAACACATAGGAATGTTAAACACTATCCCTATAAAGCAGAATTTGAACCTTGGACAAGAAGGACCACCAAAGCACAGCTACCTCCCTTGTTCTTGATACATTTGCAAAGGCTTTTTTTTTTCAGTGTTTTATTGTGTGCACGTGTGTGCGTGTGCTCATGTATTTGCTACATGTGGATGTCAGAACGAACATGAGAGTCAGTTCTCTCTGCCGTATGGGTCCTAGGAGGTGAGCTGGGTTGTAGGGCTTAGCAGCAATTGCCTTTACCTTGAAGAGCCAATTGTGCCAACTGCCTGTGTGCCAAGAACAAGGTAGCCAGCCTCCCGTTCAGAGGAGATCATTGTAGTCCCCTGTGCCGCCCGTTCTCCATGGGAGATTCGGGAAGGACAACCGACTAGCCAGACTTCCCACACAGCCCAACACAGCTGAGCTCACCCTACTGAAGCGTCATAACTGGCAACCCTGGACTTCAAATGTGCTTTGGACCCCTGAGGCCACTGTAACCACGTGAGCTTCTGGGGTCTTCTGTGGCAGAAGCTGAACGGAGTCATGTTCTCTCTGTCCTTCATGCTTGTGTTTTCTCATGGAAAACACCCCATGCAGTCCTGAGGAGGCCACACAGTAAGCTCTCGTGGTCTCCCCAGGAGTAGCACTTTGGGGAGTGTATTTCCATTGTGCCCTGACACTGTATAGCCAAACACATCTGTGCAGCAAGAACCCAAAGCAAGTCCTGTCTTCCTAAAAGGAGCGTTTAAGCTGTTTGGGCTGGAAATCGTGAACTAGAAGTAAAGCACAGGATCAGCCTCTGCCTACCATTCACTAAAGGCTGTAGAGAGGCAGAGCAGGGCTTTCCCAGCATTGCTGCGTTGCTGCAGCACTCTTGGACAAAGCGTGCTTCATGTGCTTTATTCTGAAGCCAATGGTACAGGGATGAAGGACAGTGATGCTCAGGCTGATTCAGACCAGATCTGCTCTGCAAAGCTAAACACTGGGCAGCTTTCACTGTCCACGCTTTGATCAGAACGTGGTGGCTTTCCCTTCACTAAGCCGTCCATAAACCCAACAGGCGTCCTCCTTGTTCAGAGTGGAACCTGTGTCTGGGGCTTTGTTGCCGCCTCCTTCTCTAGAGGAGCTAAGTGGGGACATGTCCCAAGAGGCCTAGCTGTGTGACAGACAGTGCCCTGCAGCCCACTGGCCCCCCTCAGAGCCCAAAGCTGATCGGCTTCTGCTTGTTACCACCCAGTGTGACAACGACGATGACTACAGGCAGATAAAGAAGGCCCAAGGAGAGAAGGAGAGCGCTCCACGCCTGGCCGCCTCCGCTAATAACACCTTGTCCGGCAGCCATTGTAACATGAACGTCAACAGGTAAGCCTGATGCCCGGACGGGAGAGGTGAGCTGGCGGGGCCGCCAGTCTGAAGGTCACGTGCTGTGTTGAAAACACGGAAGATCCTTTCGATTGCTCTAATCTGAGTCTGTGGGCTTGCTTCCCTCAAGTTAACCAAAGGCTGACAATTATGCCTCCAGCTCCACTTTTGATGGCTGTGTCAGGTCCTTTTGTGTCACCAGACACCAGACAGTACACATCAGAGCTCTGTGCTATCCAGAGATGTCCTCTCCCTGCAAACGTGATAAACCAAATCTTACAAGCTGGTATTGTAACAGTAGCTGCTAAGCACATCAGGTCGTAAAACTGCAGGGATCTAAGGAAGTGCAAAGTCTGGGTCTGCGGATGACACACCTAAGCTCTTGGATGTAGACAACTTGTAGACTTGAAAGGGATCTGTGCTTCCAAGGTCAAACTGCCAGCCAGCGATGCCTCTAAGGGAGCAGCACAGGGCCACGGCACCCCGCCTCCCTCAGTGATGAATGGTCCTCAGCCAGGCAAGGTCCCAGGTATTCATTAAAACAAGTAGCTCAGCATCCGTCACAGGCTTTCCATTTAGAAGCGCCCCGGCGCAGGCCCTTTTCCTCGGCCGAGGCGCCTCTTGCTCTCCCTGACTGTACAGGGAATTTTTAAGGGGAGATTAATGGTTCCACACAGCACATAAAGTGTGAACTGAAAGGTTGGGGGAAGATGTAGAACGGCGCTCAAAGTCGAAGACGAGATTGGAGAGCAGAGGCACGCAGGCCCATCATGCTTTGGGGATCACCTTGAGGATGCTGAAGCCCTGCCCAGGAGGGAACAGATACTCAGGCTTCCACGGGGGAGTGGGAATGAAGGGACTTTGCCCCCAAAATGTTTCTCTTTAATGCATCGTATGTTCTGTGTGCATTTGTGAGGGCATTAAACAACCTTCCTAGCTAGTGACAGTCATAACTGCTGCCTAGCGTTGAACACAAATGATATTTGAGGGTGTCTGAAACTGTAGTGTGACAGGAAAAATAGCAGTGGCATCCGCTGAGACAGAAGCATGGTGTTGCTAGGAGGACTCCAGCCCAAACATTCTTCTGATCCTTGCCCTTGCTTGTAACTGGAGGGGATGTTCCGTGAGAGCTGAGAACAGGTGAGACGGAAGATGGAACGTTTTCCCATCTGGATTCATGGACCTCGGACTTAAAATCTCTTGCTCTCAGGACCATCTGGCAGAGCCTGCCAGATACGGTTGTTTTGCTGACACTAAGTAGCGCGTGAGAGTGTAGAGTTCTTTCTGGAAAAGGTGGGCTGTGAACCTCTGGGACTGAGGGTCTGCTACCAAGCTTTACCACCACGGGAGAACATGGAGCTGAGCAGCTAGGAGGCTCTCGGAGAAGGCTTCTTTGGTCCCTCTTGACTATGTAAACTTGCATCGATGAGGAAGGAACAGTCATATATACCCATGATTACATTTAATGTCATCATTGGCTTTGCATCTCACATAGAGAATGTAAAATAATAGACACTTAGAAGCAGGGTTCTTTTTTTCCCCCTTTCACATGTCAAGAAGCGACTGCTTTCAGGTTTTTCACACCCATCCTTAACACCAGCACCCTCCCCTTCAGTAGACACACCTCGCTTTTAGCCACTTGTCTCTAACTTGTCACTCAGTTCTTTTGGAACTGGATCTGTCTCCACGTGTATCTGTTTGCATGATGTCAGGAACTTGGCTGTTTGTTTTAGAGGCCAGTGCTGGAGAATTCCCACTGTGACCAGCAGCTAAGGAAATTGCTTTTGAAGTGACTTTAATGGCTTGTTTGCTCTGATAACCAACACACACAATTAACCCATCTTAGCCCCAGGAGCCACTGGTTTTACTGTTTTGTTGTGTAAATTTAAGTGACTCTGCCCCATGCATCTGCAGTCAGCAGCAAGACACTACTTCAGGTTAACTGTCCTCCACAAGCAAATCTTCTTCCTAATGCAAAACACATAGATGGCTAGCGGTAAGCATCACTCTACACACTGTAAGACTTCAGTGTGAGTGAATCTGTCTTCTCTGTTGGGGAAACTCTGCATAAGAATGGACAAAGGTCTTTCAAGTCAGAGCGAAGGCCCGGAAGCTGCGGTTTCCAGTGCTGGTTGCTTTGCTCTGTGTTTACTGGGAGCAGTGCTTGGTGAATTCCCAGACTCAGCGCTGGAGGGTGGCTTCAGGCTCAGTCACTGGCCAGCACACTAAGAGAGTTAAGAGCTCTGAGTAGGGGGTATGGTCCTTCGTTGATGCCTCAGTCTCTGCAGGACCACCTGAGCCCAGATTTTTTAGTTCTGTTGCTCTCCTTGTGGAGCTCCTGTTCCCTCCAGGTCTTTCTACCTCTCCCCTTTTCCATAAGATTCCCTGTACTCTGCCCAAAGTTTGGCTATGAGTCTCAGCATCTGCTTTGATACCTCAGATGTAGCCCATGAGCAGCACAGTCTCCATGTGGGCTCCCTAGTAAGGGGAGCAGGGGCTGTCTCTGACATGGACTAAGTGGCTGGCTCTTTGATCACCTCTGCCTAGCAAGGTGGCCTAACTGGGCCACAGGGAAAGAGGAAACAGACAGTCCTGATGAGGCCTGATAGGCCAGGGTCAGATAGTAGGGGAGGTCCTATCAGTGGACTAGGGGAGGGGCATGGGGGGAGGAGATGAGGGAGGGGGCTACAGCCAGAATACAATAATTTTTGTCTTAATTGTAATAAATAATAATAATCTTTTAAATGGAAAATCGGAGCTCAGTTGCTGTTGTTGGTTGGCTTTCCCAGGCTGCTCAGGGCTGTGAGGAAAAGCTCGCTTGTTCAGTATTTGTAGAAACCTGGATGAAGAACTGAGAGGGTGGACATGTTCCTCTTCTCAGTCCTGCATTGGCAGGAACTCAAGGTCACTGTGTACCCTGATGAAGTAAAAAACAGGGCATGCAATTTATTTACTGTTTCCTGCGGTCCTCATGCCATAAGTCACCTCTCCCTTAATAATTCCCAAGAAACTTCTTCCTGCCAGCAGATTTTCGATGGGAGGTTGGGCCGGACAAGAAGCATGGCCTTTTCCTTCTTTCTTTCTTTCCTGTGCAGACTGTGACACTCTGTTGCTCTTTCTCTTTTCAGCTTGGCAATACCAATAAACAAAAATGAAAAAATGCTCCGGTCCCCCACTTCGCCACTCTCCGATATATGTAAACACAAACACACCAGCGAGGACTTGGCTTCTTCCGGCCGACCTCATGGCAATGGGGTGCTGACTTCTGCGTCTTCCAGCAAGAAGCCGAAGGCTGACAGCCAGCTGCAGTCACATGCTGGAGACCTCTCGGTTTGTTGAGGCCCTTCTTTCCTAAGTAAACTTGGAGTGAAATTTCCAGCCCTGTCTTAGCACACTTTACACTCTTGTTGGAGGCCCCACAGTGAGCCGCTGAGGGGGGGGGGGAGGGGAGCTCATGGAGGGAAAATATTCCTCCTCTCTCCCATGGAGCATGAAGGCAGAAGCCTTCCCAGTGGAAATTCCAAGCTTTTTGTGCTTATGAAGCCTCTGGCAGTTTCAGACCCCAGGGGAATACCATACCTAGGGGGGGAGATCAGCCAGCTTCTGTGCTGGGGAAATGCCCTACCCATAGGTCACTCACTTGCATTTGGGGCTGAAACCCATGCCAGCTTTGCAGGGCTCTCAAGCTGCTCTTGTCTACCACTTGGAATGTCCAAAGTGGGAAGTCTGGACTGTCACCCTGAACTGGCCATCCCCGGCTGGTTCTTACATTCCTCTGGGGCTACAGTAGAGGTGTTTTGGTTGCAGTGTAATCTTGGAATGTTGCTTATTCTCTCTGGGCCCCAGCCCCTCTAGATAGTACTGACTTTCCATGTAGTTCCTCCATGTTATGTCACCAGCCTTGGGGTGTGTTGTAATCCTTGTTCTCCCAGGTCACCATGCCTGTCAGAACCATCAGGGCTCTGTGAGATGAGAGACAGAGAAGGCTTAAGAATAGAACTATGCCAAAAAATATCCCAGGCAGGGGCCAGTATTTAACGTTTCCCCTTGGATTTAAGAGGCAAAAACACCGGCAGAAGGCTCTGTAAGGAGCCTGAATCTCAGCACATCTCCAAACTGTACCTTTCTCCGTGACCACATTTAGAAGCAATTATCGTTAACCCTAAGCAGGAAGAGTTCAGAAAGACTCCTCGATTGAAGAAACATGGAAAGAAAAAACTATTCAGGTTTTAAAACAAAACAAAAGTTCTCTTTGTTTCCTTCATATTCATATATCCAGATATATGAATCTGTGCTGTGCCGAGAATTATAACCATTTGCTTATTTTACTTCTTCATTCACCAGGTAGATGCTTTCTGAGTAGATGCTTGTTCTGTGCCAGGCACTGTGATGGGCTCCAGAGATACAGTGGTCATTGAGCCGATTCCCCTCTGCATCACTGTGAAGCAGTGAACCCAGCTAGGGAGAGAGACAGACATGTGCTCTCTGGGCCATGCGTCAGCACTCAGTGGGTGCTTTGTAGCTATGTGTGACCTTGCGTAGTAATTTTTTTTTTTTTTTTTTTTTGCGTATTTTCAATAATTGCTTTTGCCCTGTTTTCATGGACAGTGCCTGAGAAGCATTTCTGACAGGAATGGCAGCTCTTGGGAGGGACAGTTACAGTGAGGGGATGGTGAAACCTTGGCTTTGGGGTACCATCTGAGAACGAGCTAGAAATACAGATTCCCACAGGGTGTGTGTAGCACACACCTGTAACCCTAGCAGTCAGTAGGTGAGCACAGCTTAAAACCAGTCCAAGCGACACGTCAGAACCTTATCTGGGGGCAAGGGCAGAGACAGACAGACAGAGACACACAGAGAAATCCCTAAACTCTACCCTAGATCTACTCAGACAGAAACTCAGCCAGCAATCTGTGTTTTAGCTTCAATATGATTCTAATAAATATCTACATTGGGAAAAATAGAAGCTCACCATGGTCCCTTGAGAAAGCCTGCGTTCCCCCGTCCACGGAAAGGGCACGACCTCCTTTTTCCTGTTGCTGTGAGAACAGCCGGTGACGCAGGTGCGGAACTCCTTGGCTTGACCCCTATCACACGCAGGCTGTGCGCCCCTATCACAGGGCTCCCAGAGCTGAGGCTTGCTGAGCACTAATTCTGCAGAAGGATCGTGCTGCGGGTGATCCCCTCCTGTGGCAGGTCAGAGCCAAACAGGCTCACAGAACCGTTAGAGCCTGCAGCCTGCAGTCGCTTCAGTGTAGATGTAACTATGTAAGAGGAGGAACACAGAGGGGCTTCATATTTGGGCCTGGGTCCCACCGGCCCCCCCCCCAAATATTCAGACACTTGTGGTTAAAGATTTGGGTAAAAAATACACACTCTCTGTTTATCTTTATTGAAACGAAATCAGCATGGTTTCTAGCATAGACCAGAGCGGCATCCTGTAGGTGAAGGGGTGTTCCGTCGGTGGCCCCTCAGCCGGGTGGCTGCTGTCTCAGTGGCTTCTGTCTTCTCTGTCGTTCAGAAGGCCTCTCACAGCAGTTCTGAAAATGGCATCCTCCATAGCAAGTCACGGCCACAGACTGAGCCATGGTCTCCGGGTTCCAGTGGTCACAGGGACTGCAAGAGACAGAAACTCATCTTTGATGACATGTAAGTCTGGTCCTTCTTAATATGGATCTCCCTGTAGCTCCAGGCAGCTAGCTGCCCAGTGTGGGTGCTGGGACCAAATACAAGTCCTCTGCAAGAGCAGAGCATGCACCCAACAGCTAAGCTCGCTCCAGCCCCTCCAGTGAGTCTTACATAAGGATGTGGATTAAGTGTTGTCCGACTCTGAACCCCAAGGCTGTGAACTGTAAAGCCCGGTTTCTTGGACTCAAGGTGTGTGTTAGGGCTCAACCACACCAAGCAAGAAACAGGGTTTTACAGTTCACAAGCAAATACCCTGCAACAATGAAGGGACGTTGCTGATTTTAAGGAAGTGGACGAAGGGATGTTGGTGATTTTATGCTTTTTGATTTTGCATTTCTGATTTTATCAGAAAGAGGCATTTTTGGTTTTGTGACTTACAATGGCCGAAGAATAATAGTGATTTACTTCTGGAGGCTCTTTTCCTCCAAGCCATAGGTTCTCTGCAACAGTGTCAAAAGGCCTTATGTAGAAAAAAGTCTAGCATCCTTTGTCCACTTCTACTGCTAAAACCTAAATGCGCCTTCCATAGCCAGTGTCAGCTTACAAGGAGAAAGGAGAGAAAGGTGAAGAAGAATGTCTGGGTAAGCTCTGGGGAGGCTGAGAGTCACAGAGAGAAAGGCTGAGATGAGACTGAAGAGAATTCAGTCTTCCAGGGAGAAAGCGGGTGTCCAGGAGGCAGAAATGGGGTTTTGTGCGTTCGGCCTGATCCAGCTTTCAGTTGTCAGCTAACCCGCAAACATGCGGTGCACGACCACGTGACGCAGGATAACCGAAGTCTTCAGAAACAGCGTGCAGGGGACTCCTGCCCTCTGGTGGCTTCCAGCCCGACTGCAGAGACAGACCACAAGCTGGAAGCTCCCCTGGCCTCAGCAGCCCCCAGCCCTTCTCAGAAAACCATAATAATACCAGTGACGGCTACTGTCCTGCTTGGGGATAGTGCATGAGCTGCAGCATTGGGGCGTGATATCAGGAATGTGTGGGGATCATGCTTCTGCTCACTCTTTGACAGCCCTCACCCTCGCCCGAGTACAGGCACTTCTCTGCCAGGCCCATACTGAGTCACAGTCTTTTAAGTATTTGCTGGACTTCAGCCGTTAGCCAGGGGTTGGAAGCCAAATGCACATCTCTGCGTTGTTCAGGATGCACATGCTAAGGTAACTGAGTCTAGGGAACTAGGTCTCGCCTCTTCCTGAGGTTCCTGCAGCTGCATGCTAGCTTATGTGTGTCCAGCCGTCCACTCCCTCCAGCGGCTCCACTGTCCACCCCGTTCACTTCCCCTTTGCTGAGCACGATGGTAGGTGCTCATTTGCCCTGAGGAAGACAGTCAGGTGGTCGACTCTAGTTTCTTTAGGACTTTGTGCTCGAAAATGTCCCTGTGAACCTTTTTGAAAACAGAGGCAATTAGAGTGAGACTTAAGATCATCTGTGTTTTGGAGTCACAGCTAGTGACAGAAGTATTAGACATTGGGGTGCTCAATATACCAAATATTTCCAGTGTATGATTTAGGGGGCATGGTAAAGATTTTTTTAAAAAAGTATTTTCAAGAAAATAAGGTCAATGAATTTTCCATTGTTCAAAACAGAAGCCTGAGTTGGAAAGAGCAGCAACTCAATGATTTAGCCAATCTGAAGTCTCTTGGACTTTTTATAGGAGGAAATGTTTTTCATTATGTTCCCTGTCTGTAGCAGTGGGAAGGCTCTGGCTCTTGGCAAGGTGTGTAATTGTGGCTGTTGACCGGGCTGGGACTGTTTGCTCTGCTAGGGATATGGTGCAGTGACATGGAAAAGCACTCTTACGTGCCCATTGCGTGGAGAGGCGTGGCCAGATTGCTCCAAGTGATTTGAAATCTCCAACAGTAAGACAAACATGCAACTGAAACAGCCACTGATCTAAGAAAGCTGTGGGAAGAGTCTCACAACCCAAGAGGCAAAGCAGCAACATTGTCTCTCCCATGAAAGCAGCTGTTCCTCAGGAGATGAGAGTCACATGCTAAGCACCTACTAAGTGTCAGGTGCAGGGCTAAGCTGGGATGTTAGTGATGAGCTCATCTTGGTTCTGCTGAGTCAGGGGAGAGAAGCACATGGATGGGACCACAGCCCCCACTGAAGTGATGGCTAGGCCATACCTCTGCCCTCTTCCCACTCCTCTTCTCCTTTAGTTCCTTTCTCTTATCACCCTTCTTCTCCTCATCCTCCTTCCTGTGCCCTTCCTCCCATCCCACTCTTCCTCTTTCCCTTCTGTCATAATTAACTTCAATTTGACACACCTGGAAAGAGGAAACTTCAGTTAAGCAGTTGTCTCCATGATGGCCTGTGGGGATACTAACGGCATTTTCTTGAGTACCGATTGGTGCAGGAGCCATGCCCACAGTGGGCGGTACCGTCCCTAGGCAGGTAATGCAGATAATCCCTTCCTCCCCTTTGGCTTTTTCCATCCGCTTTTCCTTCCCTCCTCTCACTTCCTCTTTCACCCTGACAACTTCTGCCCCGGCAGCTTCTTGACCAAGAAAGTCCTCAGCTCCTGCCACTTTCCGTGGCTTCTCTTCACTAAGGGCGTCATCACTCACTGAGATGAGCAGAGAGGCTGCCGGGAGAAGAAAGGAAAGGGCCAGGTCATTAGGACCGGAGCAATTGAGAAGCTGATGGAAAGCCAGTTAGAATGAGCCAAAAAGTGACAGACGCCAGGCTGGCATTCAGTGTTTAGAGCTGCATCATGTAGCTTTTTTTTTTTTTTTAAATAAAAGGGAAATTCATCCTTTTGTATTATAAATACTTGTTAATGGCTGAATAAACATGCAATTCAGACAACAACTGAACCCACCAGGCTGTCAAGAGTGAGTACTGAATAAATATAGCTGAATTATAAATGCCTTTCCCAGGGGAGGGCCTGGATTTTTCTATCTTTCTTTTTCTGCAAACCTGCATGAAAGCACATTTAAATTCATGGTCTTCCACATCTCGTTTCCTATATTTCTTACCGATTAAGCAGCAGTTGGTGCTTTGGGGATGCAAACACACGGAAGGAGATGGCACTTATTTTAAAACCGGAGTCCGGGGTGGCTTGTTCTTGGTACACTGCAAGCACAGACGCGGGGCAGTGTGACTCCCCCTCCTCCCTGACAGTCAGCAAAAGCATGAAAAGCGTGGCAGTCACTGCTCCACAGCCTCAGGAGGAAGGTGGCACTGGCACAATTAACAGACTTTCCTTTTAAAAGACAAAAATCCGTGAGAGTTTCTGTCAGGGAGTGACAGTCCTCGGTTGGACTTGCAGCTCAGATACGGGTCTCATTAGTGCAAAGCCGTGAGCTGCATATTATTTGGTGTCATAATTAGTGACAGGGAGCTTTGGCCAAGGAGAATTGAGGGAGATCTGGGATGGGAAGCCTCGGTCCAGAAGTCCTGGATTCGTGGAGCTAAGTGGTGAAAGGCTTGGCGGGGAATAGAGCCGGGCTCCTGCAAGCCATATTGCTATGTTATAAGCCAGCGGGGCTGGGGGCCAGCACTGCCTGCTGCTCGCTGAAGGATGTGCTGTCCCCCACCCATATTTCACGTGGAAGAGGCAGTCATGACCAGAGCACCCAGCCAATCCACCAAACGTCCCATCTGTCCCCATGATGTCAGGAACAGGAGCAGAGCTACCCAACCGCTGAAGACTCCCTGGACACGCGGTGCTGAAGGCCGTCAGCGTGTAAGGTGTGAGTGGAAGGAAGGGACCGGGACTTGACATTTGCAATGTAATTACATGTAGCAGCCTCCCAGCTAAAAGGATTTTAATTTCATGGAGGACAGGAGGACTCCCGCATAGGAGTGGTTGAATACCCTGCGCATGATTTAGTCAAAGGACGCCAACTAGAATTTTTGCATAGGCCGTGTTGTCACAGGTAGGACACCTGGGGACCTCTCCGTGGCCCTGTTGTCTGGGAGAGACCCTTCTCTGGCCGCTGCAAAGCTGGACCCCACCTTTTTATCTTGAGGTGATTGTTTCCATCGTGAATTCCCTTCCTTGGATTGGGTCTTCTTATTCTGGCCAATACAAAAAGAGAAGTTTCAAGTGGAAGAAAAAAGGAAAAGAAAAAGGTTTCTCCTGCTGAACCCTTCAGGCTTTGTTAAAATTGATCGTTTTTAAGTGTCCAGCCCTGAGAGGAACAGCAATAAGATCGATGACTTCCCATTTCAATTAAAGTTGCTTAAATGGTTAAAAACTTACCCCCTTAGCCAACACAGCCTGGGAAATGTAAAACAACGTAAGGCAGGGTGCTCCCCCTCCTGAGGAACCAGGTTCCATGCACATCAGGGTCCCGATCAGTGTCAAGGAACAACAGCCGTGTCTGAGTCCTTGCTGCTTAACTGCCATCCACCAGCCTCCACAGCAGTGCCTTTGGGCAGCCAGGAACAGCACCCCGGAGCCCCAGTTTCCAAATGCCAACAGTGACTCCTGGAGTTGAGCAGGCGCTAGAACGCTTTCCCAGCATGCGTGAAACTCTGAGTTTGTCTCCCGGTTCTGCAGAGCTGGCACTACAAAACAGATTGTGTGTGAAAAGGGAACAGTTAACCTCTTACACAGTCTGGGTCCTTCTGGAGCGAGCACCTGAAGGGCACGTCAGGGGACACTGGAGGCGCTCCACGAGAGAGAATTCCATTTGATGTCATCGCTGTTCCTCTGTCTGACATGGATTTCAGCTTCTCCGAGCAAACTGTCCCGGTTTCTCCACACCCAGGAACCTGTTTGTTCAAACACAGTGAGCTCTCATCCCTGCCAGTTTGCACAACTTGCTCTATGGAAAGAGGGCCTTTAGGAGAGGTAGGACTTAGAGAAAGCCTCTCCACGGGCGGCCATCCATCTCTCTCTGTCCCTCAGCCACAAAGGAGAACAAAAAGCAAAGGCTCTGTGCTTGTGTGTGTCAGGTCACTGGCATGTTGCTGCTGTGTGTCAGGGCCATGGCTACGTGTTTGTAGGTGATGGTGGAGAAAAAGAAAAGAAAATGTCCCATTTGGATCAAGTACACCAATCACTTTTGTTGCAGAGAAGTCCTTTTGTTCTTTAAGTATGTATATACTGCAGGCCAGAAGAAAGCACCAGATCTCATTAGAGATGATTATGAACCACCATGTGGTGGCTGGGAATTGAACTTGGGACCTGTGGAAGAGCACCCAGTGTTCTTATCCTCTGAGCCACCTCTCCTGCCCCTTACAGGGAACTCTTAGAAAAAAGGTATGCATGGCTGTGCTCTGGCTCTGCCGATTTCTGTGCAGCAATGAGTGCAGTTTCGTTTATAGTGTTTAATTGCATTTTATAGGTGTGTTCATGACCATCATAAATTACGATGAAAAACAATGTGCAGACTATTATTCCAGAAGTTTAAAAACTCTACATTTTCCACTTAAAAACAGACTCAATGAAAAATCTATTTACACTGAGAGGATCCGGTTTTACTTCAGCAGCTTTGGTATATTGGATGCTGTACCTGTGACGGTGTTAAGGGGCAGTTTCATTTTTCCTCCTGACTTGTATATGGCTGCAGAAAGCAATGCCTTCAGGGTACTGTGAATCCACCATCGTGCCGGACAGTCTGAGTGACGTCCCATTGGTCCCAGTGACTTTATAACGGCCTGATTTAAGAGCGTAGCAGTAGAAATCACCTGAGAGGAGAAAATGGGCCAATCTTCAAGCAATTTTCAGTGCTTAGTGCAGTGAGCCCGCCATTATATGCAAAGAAGACTCTAAGACGTGTTTGTAAATGGACCAGAGACAGCACCAGGTTCTCCTTCAGCATGGCAGGCTGCTGTTGTGGCTGCCAGGGGCTGGTCAGAAAAGTGGATGTGTTTACTTAGCCACAGGCACTGCTGTGTGTCTATGACTCAGCCTCCATATCAGGTTTGAAAAGTGCATTCTTGTTCTGCAGATTAAAACAGCATCGATTGAAGAACCGTATTAGAGGCTATCAGCTACTGCCATCGCTAAGAGTAACTTAGAAAGCCTGTGAAATCTAAGGTGCCATAGCTTAGGACCAAGAGCGTTTTTTCCCCCATGGGAACAAGATGCATTTAAAATGACAATCTTTTAGTGGTGTGGTCTACAAAACAGGACACAAAGAAAATGACCAAACTTAGATACTAGAGTGTAAAGCAGATAATGATGTGGAGAATTTCAAGTTGCCATGGAGACACTCTGCTCACTGGCTATCATGCTGTACCCTCTCAGAAGGCACCACTCTTCCCTAAGCTCAGAAGAAATTGAGAACGATTCAAGGATTACTGTAGGCTGGGGAAGATCAAACAGGTCAACAGCATGATTCCTGCTGAAATGCACCAGTGGCCAAGCTGCGTGCAGTAACTGTAGCTCAGCGAGCCTGGAAAGTAATTAACTACCCATGACATACGGTATGGACACATTCCCGGGGGCGATGGGAAAGGCAGAAGAATGCCAGTAGGAGAAGTTCCTGGCAGTGCTCAGTCTCCAAGGGGAGTGGCCTTTGGTTCAAGATAGGGTTTGGTGAGAGCAGAATGTTCCAGACAGGGGAAAGGAAGAGCAGAGCTTCAAACCAGGGGCGGCATGTCATCAAAACTGATGGAGCCTGCCTAGACTTCGCTCCGAGTCCCTCGTGACTTGAACACAGACAGGACCTCAGAGGCCCCAAAGACTCATTTTCCGACTGGAGACAAGATGGTGATACAGCAGAGACCGCATTCTAGAAACACTGCTCAGGGAGGAAGGCTGGAAGTGGGATCTAAGCGCACTGAGCTACAGACCCCCAAACTGGAGAGGATGAAAAAGCCAACTCTGATGGTTCATCCTAAGAGAAGAGAAATGCCAAAAGGGAAGCACGGACACAAGCAAGAAAGAAGCAGCGAGAGCTGTAAGCTTGCCTCCATAGGTAGGGCCTGGGGGCTGAAGCTCAGGTCAAGCTTTGGGATGCGAAGCCAAAGACCAATCGGAGCAGCTCTGCTCCTTCTGATGCCGTAACAATGGCTATGTGTCATGACCCAGTGTTCCAAACCCACACGACCTAAACCATCAAGAAACGATCCCTAACGCACGCTTGTCCCCACTGGCCTGTCACTTGTAACAGTTACACCTGCTTTACTTCAGTTGGTAACTAAAGCAGTTGTACATGTGTCCATGGAAACTACATAGCTTCTGCTCAGTTCTACTGTGAATCTTTTTAAAAATGCTCTAAAAATGGTTTCTTTGAAAGCGAAAGGGAACAAGTGGTATCGGTGAAAATAGCCGAAGTTCAGATCAGTCAGTATGTAAGCCAAAGGAGGAGAGCCACTCTGTTCAGGCAGCTGGAAAACCATTCAGGTGGAGGTGTGGGTCCCTTGGAGATGAACTGGAAAAGCAGAGGGGGTGGGAGCAGGCCCGTTTTGCTAAGGAAGCCTTTAGCCACACCAGACACCCATCGAGGGGAATCGAGGCTTCAGACCTGGGTGGGAGTGGGAATGGCGAAGAAGCAACTGCTGGAAGACAGTTACATTCTGGAAACTCTGGAACCACGTTGTCACGTCTGTGTAGTGACGAACTATCATGTCATCACCAATACAGCGCCACAATCCTGACAATATTTGTAAAGAAATAAGAAACAGGAAATGAGGCCCTCTTTTTGTTCCCATGGTTTTTGATCCAAAACTAGTTATGTGCTTTGGTTCTGATTTTATTTCTTAGTTTGGTTAATTAAATGTGGTGTTTTAATCAGTCCATGTTCATTATCATAGCACATACTGGTGGCACATACACGCTTTTCTAAGCGTTCTGATCTCTTTGAATAAAGGAATGTTCTGACTGCCCAGTACTGCAGGGAGCTAAAAGACCCATTAGAATCTAAAAGAAGACAGTTTAAAGTAAGCATAGCATAACGGGTTAAACAGTCCATGACGGATGTCTCTGTTGACATCATATCCCCTGGCTGGTATAGGCTGTTCATGAATAGGTCAGGTTTATTGATCACATGACACAGAGGATGTAAAGAAGTTTATACTGATGGCATCTAAAGGATTTAAAGGGCTGTTATCAATCTATTAGAGTAAGCGTTTTGAAAGGCGCCACCGGACGCACAGCTCCACCTGACTCAGATCAGTCAGACAAATTACCTTCATCTCCCGGGAGAACTGGCACCGGCCAGGGTTACCACTTTAATATTACACGTGTCTAATGTTCCTGTTTACCAGCTACCTAATCAGCACTCCAGAGGATGCCCGCCGGGTTTGCATTGTTACGGGGCGGGTATCATTTTACAATTAACTTCATCACAACTGGGACCTAAGCGTACTGCATCACAGTTTCTTAGTGTTCACTGGGAGGCATCAAGATAATTAAATATAGGCACCATTTCTGTATATGAACAAATAAATACCCATACATGTCCATGAAATTATTATCAGATATATTTGCAGTTTTTAAGTTAGAGGGGGATGTTTCTGTAGACACTTTGCAAAATAAGATTTTTCACATTTTTTCTTATACATACAATAAAAAAAAAAAAGTATTCACAAATTAGGCCCTGAGGGACCACGTTAAAGTACCTACAAAGATAGGCTCTCTGCATGTGTTGAGTGGGCTTTGAATTGCTAACTTAGGAGAAAAAGAGTGTATTTTATATACAGGCTGTAATTTGAAAGTGCAAAAAGTATATATGATTCCATATTAAGCAAAGTTTCTGAATTGTGCTTTATGTGTGAATGAAAGGAAAGAGTATTTTCAACAGGCCTTGCACTTAAGCAGTAATGGCATCTAATATTCTCTTCCCCTAGGCCTCGCAGTGCAGACTATTTTATGCAAGAAGCTAAACGGATGAAGCATAAAGCAGATGCAATGGTGAGGCCCTTTTCTTTCCAGATTTGTTCATCCAAATTGTGTTTGTGCTGCAGCTTCATCGCTGGGGCAATATAGCCTGGGTAATTAGAAAATCTATTACAAGGATGGCTGGGCATGCTAAATGGGAAAATGTTTATATAATCAAAGGCTCATAGCCCAATAAATTACGACTTCACTCAGTAATGTCTAACTGGAAGAAAGCCCTGGATAAATGACTATTTCAATTTAGTCTTAAGGTTTGAGTAGTAACTAGAGCCAGTGGAGTCAGTGGGTGGAGCTATTAGAAAAAAATTGAATTTGCGTTTTCCTCTCTGGCTAGGCTGGCTGGCTCTTTCTTGGCTCCAGCCCAGGGATCAAGTCCCTTTTCAGGAAGACTGGTGTTCCTCGTGTGTGTGTGTGTGTGTGTGTGTGTGTGTGTGTGTGTGTGTGTGAAAAAGGAACACATCTCCGCAAGTTTACAACATAGAAACAGTCAGCTGTACTTAGAACCTCAAATCTCCGTGATTTGATCTTTTCACAGGACAACTTTTCTGACTTGGGTGATCTCCAATTTTGGAGGCTTTAAAGCTTTCAGGCAAGAAATAGAAAGACTTTTGGTTTCTTTCTACCTAGAAATTCTAGCTTTCTTTTCCTCCAGAGCTCATAAAAAGCTCAGTCAGGGGGCTGGAGATAAAGGCAGCACCTCAGATACCTTTCTGAGTATGATTCCGGTGGGAAAGACTCAGAAGCCGTGACAGCAGCCCTCCCAGTGTGCCTCACGCTGCCCACCGCACAGTTATCTGACGTCAGCTGCCACCGAGCACCAGGGTAACGTGGAACTAGGCAGTGCTTATCAGAGAATAGAGAGCAGTGCAAGGAACAGCTCTTGTCCACAGAGCCGCACAATCCCAAGCTACGGTGGAGAGTTTAGGTCATCCAAAGAAACTGTTATGTGGCTCGCCCTTTCTATAGTACTTTAGAAGAGAGAAGAAGGAGGGGAAGGAAATTAATTATTGCGTGGCCACTTTTGAGAAGAAAAAGGGCTGGAGAGATGGCTCAGCCATTAAAGGCTACGCTCACAACCATAAATATAAGAGAAGAAGAAAAAAAGCAAACAAAAAACACATACACTTTTTTGTTTTTGTTTTGTTTTGTGTTTTGAAACAGGGTTTCTCTGTGTAGCCCTTGGCTGTCCTGGAACTCACTCTGTAGACCAGGCTGTCCTCCAACTCAGGAATCCACCTGTCTCTGCCTCCCTAGTGCTGGGATTAAAGGTGTATGCTGCCGCCACCACCACCCAGGTGCCTGTTTGACTTAAATTAAAATTGTGATTTGTTAATAAGAGTTTTGCTCTGTGCTTGTTTTCAAAGGTATCACTATTATTAAAAGTTGGGGATGTATTTATTTATTTTTAGCGATCGGGCTGAGGGTAGTTAAGAGGGAGAGGAATGGAGAGGGAGAGGCACCAGGGTGGGACTGGATGGACAGGAGGGAAGGGGCTGGGATCAGGCTGTCAGTGATCTAATTAATAAATTAATCAGTTAATTAAAAGACGGGCCTGGAGAGCCATGTACGGCAGCAGACCTGTGAATGCTGACACTGTTTAGCACCACGTGCGGATGAATTTGACGGACTAGGGAGAAGGAAAGAGAAATTCGAGAAGTTGAAGCTTTGAGCTGCACTGTCGGCTGTCCCGTGAATTCTGCCTATAAACACTCCCTTACCTCAAACTGGTGGCAGTGTGAGGGGACAGCTGTCGACTTGCACTGGATCCCTTTCGTCCAAGAGAAATGGGCTCCAGTCTCCGTAGAGTTCCTTGAAGCTGTAGGTTGCTCAAAGCCTTGTATACACTGTCTTTGATAGGCAGTGAAGCACAGAAACACATGAACAGTGCCTAGTAGCCCTTAGTAACGCAGGCAGTGCAAACAGAAAGCCACGGTAAATGTGTAAGCGCAAGAGCCTTCTCTTTCTGGAACTTTCCTCATCACATTTTCAGACCGTATTGACCAGAGGTACCTGAAACCATGGGACGAGAGCTGTGGGTCACGGAAGCTGGGCCTCTCAAAGCATGTAAACTCTGTGGTGATGACCCTTTTTTTAAGAACCTCTTAGTAAGGAACACACGGCTGATTCTGTTGGTCAGGTGGAGAAGTTCGGGAAGGCCTTGAACTATGCCGAAGCAGCCTTGTCCTTCATCGAGTGTGGAAATGCAATGGAACAAGGTCCGATGGAGTCCAAGTCTCCATACACCATGTACTCAGAGACCGTGGAGCTCATCAGGTAAGCCCCGCTGGCGGCAGGAGGGGGTGGGGGCAGGGAAGCAGGAATGTAGTATACATGCGAACATTTGGGGAACACCAGAAAAGAATGGCAGCGCATGCTCCGCCACTGGCGGCCAGTGTTCCTCCCCAGGGTAAGGGTGGTCACGTGCCCTGCCACCTTCCTGGGTGAGGCAGGCCACCTCCTGCACAAAACCTCCCTGACTCTCCAAGAAAGAGGCATGTCGGAGTGAGCAGGGACACGTCCCCACGTCCCTTAGCTGGGAAGCGGTAGGTGTTGAGCTCAGTTGCATCTCTAAGCTGCTTGAAAATAAACAGTCAACAGGAAAAGACAGAACTGTAAGTCCGTGGTAGAACAATGGGCCGGCTGCACAAGCCACCAGGTTCCGTCCTCATCACTTACAGGAATAAATGAGTCCATTCATTCTACTTTTCAAAAGAAGTGATGAGAAAAAACTACAGTCATAACCTCATTCTAAAATTCAGAGTAGACCTAAGTAGGCATTTCTCAGAAGAAAATAAGTAAATGGGCAATCAGTGTATCGCTGAACCACAGGGAAACCACAGGCAATGTGGAAGGGGAAGGCCGTCTAGAGATTCTTGCCCTGAGAAGGTTGTGCTTAGCAGATACTTGAGGCTAGGCTAAGTACCCAAGCTTACGGTGAACTTCAGTGTCATGTTCTGCTTAAAGACATCCATGCCATAATGTGTGTGTATGTGTGTTATCACTAGAGCCCCAGAATGAGAGGAAAAGAGAATGGGACAGAAAGAGTATTAGAAGACACAACACTATGGCTAGACATGACTGAACTAGCCAAAAGACAGGTTCAGAAAACCAAGAAGACCCCAAATAAAATAAACCTAGAGAAGTCCATGCCAGGACATAGCGTAACAACATGTAACAACAAAACCTTAAATCCTGAAAGCAGTCAGAAAGAGAGGGCGTGTCATCAGTGTGGAGCCCACTCCCAAGGACAGCGGTGGTCTTTGCTCATCTGGGGCAGAGGGAGTGTGCTGATTGTCGAGTACAGAAAAACCGTCCAGTGTGAGAGCTGGAGTCAGGCTAAGGAAAACAAGAGTTTGTAAAAAGGGAGAAAGCATCCCTTATCTCCCCCTTGGGTTCTCAGAGCACAGGGAAAGTTGGAAGGGAGAAACAACAAAAACTAATTATATTTGGGAAAATGCCACAATACATTCCAATTATTTGTAAGCTAATAGGAACAAAAAACATTTCTTAAGACTGAAGGAACTTCCTCAATGAAAAAGAAATGTTGGAAGAAGGAATCTTGGCGGAAAGGTTGGAGGAAAGAACAGAAGTGTAGCTGTGCACATGATGAACTGTTCCTTCCAGTGAGCTTCGTAAATCGCATTTGATGGTTGAAACAAATTTCACACCACCATCTGGTACTCAAGATAGTACTACTTAAAAGAAGGGAAGGTTAAAGACTTCTGTGCTTCGGTCGGTGTAAATGTTGATACCATCAAACCATAGGTCACACAGGCAGGGTTTTAGCCGGGGCACGCTCGGGGAAGCTGCAGAGGGCTCACTTGGAGCTGCAGCCCCGAAGCATTACTGCAGACCTGAGCATTGCTGTCTCAGCCATTCCCAGCAAGCTGCTTGCTGTGCCGAGAATGGCACCAGGTAAAATCTGGGCTAACCTCTGTCGCTCTGTGACTGACATCACACTTTACAGATCAGGAAACAGACACGTGGCGGTGTTAAGACATTTGTCTGAGCTCTAATGAGCAGCGAGGTGGGAGTTTAGCCTGGGGCCCCTCACCATTGCACACCGCCGCAAGCTTCTCAAATATCTCAATGAGGTATTTCACTGAGAGAAAGCAGTGGCCACAGCTTTCCTATTTCAGAGAAGAGAAAGTAAGAGCAATCCAGGAAAGACACTTGCTTCTCCTGACACTTGTCAATAGACAGAAAAACAGACATTAAAATGTATTCCTAACAGCTACATTGTCATCAGTAGGAAGTTACATGTAACAAGGCAAAGGGTTAATTAAGCATCCCTCTAAGTACCGGGGTGACCTTCCCCTCCATCCTCAAGGACTCAGCATGATGGAAATGTAGGGGGAGATGGACACTTTGCCATGTTTGTGAACAGTTCCTGAGCTGGCAGCACTCCTGAGAGTTTGTTCTGTGTGAGAGAGCAGAAAGTGGCACACAGCATAAAAACCACCTCCCTCTAGTGGTCACAGGAAAGCCATCAGCTGGTTCAGTGGCCAAGGACACCTGCTGCTCAAGGACCCAAGTTTGAGTCCCAAAGCTCACTCTGAGCCTCATGGGCATCCACACCCATTCACACCCACATGTGCACACACGCGCGCGCGCGCGCGCACACACACACACACACACACACACACACACACACACACATAGGTACATAAAAAGAAAAAAAAGAACAAAGAAAAATGGAGAGCCTGACTGTGTAGTGGAGAGGACGGCCCACTATAGAGAAGGTTCTGGTGATGCTCAGCACTTTTCAATTTGCTTTTTTTATTATTTTACCTTTTCTGTGTAGGTATGCTATGAGACTAAAAACCCACTCAGGCCCCAATGCCACACCCGAGGACAAACAACTAGCTGTGCTTTGGTGAGTACAACCCCAGCTCTGGGAACGGGGTGCTGAGCCAACTTGTGCCTCCTGATACCCCTCACCCACTTAATCCCAAGCCTCCCCAACAGCCAGGAGGTTCAGACCACTTTTGGTGGCCAGAAATCACATCAAGAGAGCAGTGCCACAAGCCAGTCACGGAAGCCAAGCCCAGCATGCTCCCTGTCTCAGGGAACTAGGGTGTCGACAATAGACACCCAGTGTTGACCTCTGACCTCTACACAAGCACGGACAGGCGTGAGCACACATGTATGCATGTATGTGCACACGCAAACGCACAAAAACGAAGTGAAAATGATAGTTCCTGCTTCAGCCGTTTGAGTGTGAATTGTGCTAAATGGACTTTGTCCGGTATTTAACACATTATGCAGTCCAGGAACATTGGCGAGTTACTGTGCATGCCAAATCAGTATGCATGCATGCCCACCATCGGTCAGGGCCATCAGTACGCTGGACCGAGGGCTGCCCCTTATGCTTAGCTAGTAACGTCATTTCTTTCGTGCCGGCTGACGGATAAGCAGACCTGCCGCACTTAGGCTGTGCAGCGATAACGTGCCCCACCGCCTCGGCTCGGCTACCTCATCCCGCCTCCCGTCCCTCACCCTGCAGGGCCCTCTCTTGGTCTCTCCTGTCCTTCTATCTGTGTGTCCAATGTGTTTTGCACTCCTCGGGTTCACTGAGCTGTAGATCTGATCCGTGAGATAGAAAATCAGACGGAACCTCAGACAGCATAACAGCAACGCAGACACGGTTTAGGTTGAGCTGTTTGACCCCATTTCCTGTGGAGTTTAAAGTGCGAGGGAGCTGGATCAGCTTGTACTGGGCGGGTTGGGATTCTAGCAGATCTCAGCTGGGGAAGACTTACTGTGGCAAGCACCAGGGAAGAGAGACTTAGTCTCGGGAAATGCTAACTATGCCCTTTTCTTTATTGGAGTGCCGTGATGGGGTTAATAAATTGACGATGATTAATAATTAACGTTGGAATATATCTATGATATGAGTAATTATACAAAACATTGTAGGAAATGAGCACATGTAACTAGCCTCAGATTAGCATTTCTGTTGTGCTTGTAATGCACTTTATTTGAACTCATTACAATCTAGTAAAGCGTTAACAAGCAGAGGTAATAAAAATCCGTGAAATTGCTGTCCTGTCTGCAAGGCCCACAGCAAACCCAGCGAGGTGAGCCGGCTGCCTGCTGGCGCTCCCTCGGCGTCTCGTGGAGAGACACTGCCCTCTGGTGGTGGGAGCATTCCCAGCAAGGCTGTCCGAGCTGTTCCCATAACGCTTAATGTGGTAATGTTTTAGAGGTCTGCGTGTGATCAAAATGTTGAGTCGGAAATGACAGGGTTTGTTCTGAGGCTTCACTGTGAAGGACACACGTTTCTCCTCTCCTGCTGCAGTTACCGATGCCTGGCTCTCCTGTACTGGCGGATGTTTCGGCTCAAAAGGGACCATGCTGTCAAGTATTCGAAAGCACTTATCGACTATTTTAAGGTACTGTCTAGCGAATGAGAGCGTCATGGCTCCTTGCGAGAGGCCGGCTCCCTGACAGGAGCCCCATCCACCCGTTGCCTTGAGGTTAAACCTGCCCTCTCTGAGGTCCAGAACCACCCCACTGATGGCACACTTGCGGCTTGCGGGGCTTGGAGAATGGGCCTTCAGAGCCGAGCTAATTTGTCCCCTGCCTTCATGTCCTTGTTTTTACCACCTCCAAACAGAGAATGCGCAATGGCTCGCCCACTCCCGGGGTCCTGGGGATCAGTCTTCGGAGCAGACGTGACTCTTATGTCCGAGTAGAATTCTTGGAAGTAACTACTTAAGCCACTCCCCTTAGTTAGTCTCTAGTAGCTGATTTCATCGTTGACTGAAATGCTGTTTCTGAAGATAGGAAATGGCTTATTATCACTCAGGGACCCTCAGTGGCAATGCAGCAGCCATGGCAACTTTGCTCTCAGAAAATGAAATCATTTTCTCTAGAAGAGCACAAAACTAGCAAAACAAACCTGCGAAAATCATCTTCTTGATGTGCTGTTTCGAAGTGGACTTGAAGTCAATCATACGTTTCAAAGTCCCTGGGCCTCTTCCCTGTCTGCCCGAAATCACACCGTTGCTGCCTCCGCCTCTCCTTTATCACACTGACGCGCACACTCATCTTTATCAATCCTTTGTTGCCGACCTGCACGTCTGAGAGACGGCTGGGAAGCCAGGTTGTGCTGGAGATGCTCCGGGCTCTGACTCCTGCAGTTGTGCATAGGGTGTGACTGCCGGGGAGCCGGGGAGCCGAGGAGCCAGGCTTCCTGACCCCTGAGCATCCGCTCAGGAGATCTGGCATGGAGGTTTTCCTTCGCAGAATCGGCTCCTTTGCCCAGCCCAGTAGACTTGCCTGTGAGCTGGCACTAAGGACACAGAGGCAGGAGGATCACTGCAAGTCTCATGCCACTTGGTATACCTGGCAAGTTCCAGGAGGATCAGATCATGTCACACACATATGCACATGGGGGAAGGGGCAGAGAGAGAGATGTTCAGGAAGTCGGAGCTAAGAGATGGACTATTACAGGGAAGTCAAGCCAGAGATGCTTGAATAGCGAAGTAAGCTGACTTCTGCGACCCTGACACGCTTTTGAAAGGTTGAAAATAGTCTTTAATCTTTGCATCTGGTATCAAAATACCAACAAAATGGGTAGAGAACAGACCGGAAAGCCAGTTCCTCTTCTAGGGGTTCCCGGCACGTTTTCCAAGGATCTTGTAAGTGGAAGCTTGTATTACTGATTGTGTGCAATGTGATTTATTGCACGCCACGGACCTGTTAAATGCCGCCACCTAGAGGAGGCGTCCATCACCACACAAGTCACCATCTCTGTGGCAGGACATCCCAGGCCTACCCCCTTCTCCCACTTCAGACCACATTGTTCCAGCAGATCTTCAAAACGTGTCCTTCCTGTGGAAGCTCTGCACCCAGCAGGTGCCCTTTGTGCCCAGCCTCAAGGACCGTTTAAATACACAGGGTGGGGCCCGGAGCCTTCAGGGTAAGGCGCCGTCTCTGGGGGAGACGGTGTTTCTGCCAGCGTGCGTCCAGGTAGGGGAAGGGCCTGGAAACTTCTATCCCGTTCTGAATCTATTTTTTATGAGCTATTTCCACAACCCCCAGGCCTCTCCTCCTCTCCCTCCACACCTCCCATCAAGAATACTGATTAGAAGGAACACAGGCGAGGAGCCTCCATCAGCTAGGCATGTCAGTGCCATGCCGGCAGGAAGAGGGGGTCCCCTAGGATGGTGTCCTCTTCCTAGCTTTCTCCGTGAGGCAGGAGAAGGTGGCAGTCTGGGATTCCACCCCATGCCTATGCCCGCTGAGGGCCTGGAAGGGCAGGTCTCGCCATCCTGTAGCTTCTGCACTCCAGCTGGATAGAAGGTAACTTCATGGCACTCCTTCTGCAGGAAGCACGTTCTTAGGAATCGCTGGGGTCAGCTTCCTGTCCCTGGAAGGGAGACCCAGCATGAGCCTCGTAAAGATTCCCCTAATGGTCACATAGACTATCCAAGAAGGTAGATCAGGCTCAAGGAGAGGAACCCAGCTGCGCTCGGCAGCTTCTCTTGATTAAGGAAACACTTTCCAAGCTTTGCTTTGGGCTGGTGTGCTGCCTCCGTGGGTAGGCACTTGGCATCAAGCCTGCCTGATGATTCGAGTTTGGTCCCCAGGACCCACATGGCAAAAGGAGAGAACTGATGCCCATAAGTTGTCTTCTGACCTCTATCTACCCAGGGCACACTCTCGCACTCCAGCCAGCACATGCCACACATTCAGACACACACACACACACACAGACACACACACACGTGAAAATATTAAAAGTTCCATTAGTCTTGTTTGTTTTTAGTCACTTATCTATTGCTGGGTTGTTTCTGCTTCGTTGTGGTTCCTGGGATTAAACCCAGGAGCCTCCTATACCAGTCAATCGGTGTGTGTCTGAGCCATACCCCAAATCAGGAGAACTTTAAATGCCTGGTGCAGATACCTAACACACGTGAAATGTCATGTCCTAAGCCAGACTACCTAAGTCGAGGGCTGACAACAGAGCTGAGTGGTAGAATGTTATCCTGTGATACCTCAGGCTGAGCACCCAGTTCCTGTGTGTGTGCATTAAGAGAAATAATTGTAAACTTCATAATTTAAAAACAATGGTGTTTGATGACATACCTCCTTCAAAAGCGTCTATAAATAATCCCTAAATTTAGGTATAAGGCATTCTCATCCTAAGGTGGGAAAGTGTTCCCACTCTGTTCCGAAGCTTTAGAATAATTTCCAGTGAAGATCTCTGGGGTTCAGACTTCAGCAGACCCTTAAAATTGTGGATAATTTGCTACCAAAACTTTGGGCGTAAAAGCCTCCACTGGGCAAAGCACATGTGCGCACTTACATACGCTCGCTCCCACGGAAGGAGGAAAGGCCCTGTGACTGTAACTCCCAGGTCTTGTTTCAGGGAGTCTGCACTGAGCTACAGGAGCTTAGTGATTACTGTCAGTCACCTGATAATACGCCGCTGCCCCCTGCTCAGTCTTAGCCAATGGCCCTCACTGCCCCTGTTTTTATTTCCCTACAGAATTCCTCGAAGGCTGCCCAAGCACCGTCCCCATGGGGCTCCAGTGGCAAGTAAGTTCACTTTCCCCAACCCGGCCTTGCATGCTGCACAGCCCTGAGGGGCTGCTCGCCCTGCCTGCTCCCGACCTCTCCACTCTGGCTTTTCTACCTCTCTTCTTCCAGGAGCACTGGAAGCCCCTCCCCCATGTCTCCCAACCCCTCTCCCGCCAGCTCCGTGGGCTCTCAGGGCAGCCTCCCCAGCTCGGGCACCCTGTCCCCAGCGACCATCGTCAGCATCCCCCAGCGCATTCACCAGATGGCGGCCAATCACGTCAGCATCACCAACAGCATCCTCCACAGCTACGACTACTGGGAGATGGCTGACAACCTGGCCAAGGAAAACAGAGGTGTGTGCACAGCACCCCGGGAGGGCTGCCCCAGGGGCCTCCGCGGTCAGGTTTCATGGTGTGTGGAAGGAGAAAGAAAAGGCTGCCACCTGCGGCAGGAACCTGCTTTTTACCCTTGCTTTGGAAGGACAAGGGGAAGCAATGAGATGCGGATGCACACAGTGTTAGGCACAGTTCTGGTGCGGATGGGATGTAGATGGACCAGCTCTTTACTGTCTGAGCTGCTAGCCAGGCTTACAAGCCTGCAGCCGTGGTACTCAAGAAGTTGAGGCGGGAAGATTTCCAGCTTGAGCTACAAAGGGAGTTCCAGGCTACCCTGGGCGTCATAAATAAGACCTTGTCTCAAAAACAACAACAACAACAACAAAAAAGTGTTACTTGCTTACGAATCAGAAGAGACTATCTTATGTGTAGTCATGAATTATAACTTAAAATAGTTTGTTTTTTGCTGATACTAGAATAGGAGTCAGTGAGATGTCTCAGGAGACAAGTCTTGAGAGGCTGAGCTCGTTCCCTAGAACCCACAGTAGAAGGAGAAAACCAGCCCTCAAAATTCTGACCTCCGAATTGTGCATAAGTTCCTCTCCCATTTTCTCTCTGTCTCTCTGTCTCTTATACAATAACTAGACATTGATGTAGTTATAGGTGCTTTCTGTGGCTTAGGTGCTTTCTGTGGCTAACTTGGCAGAACATAGGAAGATGTGGAGGCAAAGGTTTTTAGACTGTTAGTAGGTGGTCAGTGACCTTACGACAGGGAGCTAACTACTGTCAGCATCCTGACAGTCTAGTCTTTCCTCCCCAGATGCTCATAGCAGCGTGAAACTGTGCGCAGTTTTGGCACCTTTTTCACTACAGTGTACCATGAGTTTTTCTCACACCGCTCACTCTGGAAAGACCTTCGTGGTGTGGTGTGTATGTGATATTTTTGTGACATAGTGCTTACAGAATCATGAAGCAGCGTGATCTCTCAGTCCATGATTCTGTTATCACATATTAAAGTAACTCCTAGGTTTTTTTTTTTTTTAAACAGTGTTGCAGTTAATATTCTTATATAAATTGTTGTTTTGTGATTGTATCACTAAGGGGGAGCTACAGGAGTTAGATTTTATGGGCCCAGTGAGTGAAGATTTTTTTTTTCTGTTGTTTTTGTTTTGTTTTGCTTTTTGAGACAGCGCCTCACTCTGTGGCCTAGGCTGACCTGGAAATCAGTAGGTAGCCAAAGCAGACTCGAGACTCAACATGTAGCCTAGGTTGGCCTCAAACTCACAACGACCCTCTTGCCTCAACCTTTTGAGTGCTGGAATTAACAGGCACAAGCCACTGGACCCCATTGTATCCTGATCTGTGCTTTTTTTATTTTTTTCTCCCGTAACAGGCGAGAATGCCAACAGGCTCATTTTCTGGCAGTGAGATTAAGTTCTGAGCCTCTGACAGTGTACACCCACAAGTACTTAGCACAGGGTCCACAGAGAGATGAGGATCAGGTGGCATGGATGAGTCCTGAGCACAGGAAATGGTTGATATGAGTTCCAGGGGCTGCACTTTGAAAGCCCAGGGGGAATGACAGAGGCCTCAGGCCGCCAGGAGACGCTCACTGGACGAGCCTGTATGGAAGATGGCTTTGGAAAAGGCATAGCTCAGTGGCGAGGTGGGGTGAGGCAGGCGTCCCCAGCGGGTCAAGAAGAGCAGACAGGTGTGGAGAGATAGCCCTGCCCACTCTGGGAACATGGCAGCGGGCTCCAGGTGCCCACAGCCTGCTGGGTGCCCCTGCGGAGGGCTCCTCGACTCGTGCAGTGCAGACGTGGTTCTGTTCAGCCTAGCCCGGCCCTGCTCTGCCCCTGCCGCCTTCAGTGGCAGCCCTCTGTTCCTGACGGCCCTTTGACAGTGCTGTCTCGGACACTTGCTTCCACGGCGAGCCGCCGTTCTGTAGCACCTCTGACGGCCAAGCTCCCGTGAGGGTTTCTCTCTAGTCACCACACACATCTGGCTTGCCCCGTCCTCCCTCCACCCATCGCTCCCAAAAAGCACCGAGGTACAAAATAAAGGAGGTAGCAGACACAGAGAGCTGCCCCGCCTGGAGGTAACTTCAGTGGAGATGACCAGTCAGGGCTGACCTCTGTCTGACCCACTGTCTTGGAGCCCCACTCCCGGACCCCCTGCAGGGGTCAGCCCATGACAGGTGATGGTGAAATAGAAGAGAGGGAGGCATGTTGACACTGAGTGAAAAGCATTTTTCCCCTACCTTTGCTATTTGGGTACATGAATGTGGCAAACAACAGTCCTTTTTTGGATGGAGGGTTCTGCCTTGTTCCAGGGAAACTCCAGGTCCCATAAAGGACGGCGGCTGCTTGAGACCGGTAGATGAGCATCTCTGACGTCACGAGGGCCCTGACTCCCGGCAGCACGCCTCACACACCTCTCTGTCTCGCAGAGTTCTTCAATGACCTGGATTTGCTCATGGGCCCCGTCACCCTGCACAGCAGCATGGAGCACCTGGTCCAGTACTCCCAGCAAGGCTTGCACTGGCTGCGGAGCAGCACGCACCTGGCCTAGGGGCCCGCCTTCGAGCCTGACTGTGCTTCCTTCTCCTCGGTGGCTCGGTGTCTCTGGACCCTGTGCTGCTGACCTTCCCAGCCACGGCGCTTCCTGAACCATGGTGAACGTTTCCTCAGAGCCCAACAATGATCTCTTCCTGGGTGGGGGAGGGGAGTATCTAGAGGTGGGTTCATAGGACGCTGCTTGTGTGTGTGTGTGTGTGTGTGTGTGTGTGTGTGTGTGTAAGGCTGACACCTCTTCGAAACACATTTCCTTTGTCTAGTGTATAATCCCAGGCTAGACAAGTGATCAGAGGCCCCTCACTGGAGGAAATCCTCGCAGCGCACGTGTGCGCACACACTCAGACACACCGTACCCCCAGTGCTAAGCCATTGCCGCCTTCGAAACTCCCACCAAAATCTCCTATTGCTGAACCTGGTGTGGCCCCAGCGCACCGAAAGCTTAACTGCCGGATGAGTTGAACCTGTCTCTTATGATTGATTACTTTCAGTATTATATACCATTCCCCAATTGCTTTTGGTTGTTGTGTATTAATGAGCAATTGACTAATGAAAACAAGCCAGTTATTTTTATGCCAGAAGCTCACTAGATTGCATGTTACCAAACACCCTGCCCCTCCTCTAAATACCCTCTCCCCTGTCCCTCCTCCACCAAACACATTGGCCAATGGAGTCCCACGAGCTTGCCTTGTCCCCACGTAAGATAAAAATGGCACCAGGATTCGGTAAAAGCCGGACAGCCACAAAAGCAGCAGCGGCTGTTCCGGTTCAGAATGAAGGTCTGCGCCTGTGGCAATAAGCCCTCTAGACATGCGTATTCTTCCTCCTGCCACTGTGACTCTGTGGCCCTAGAGCCACCTGGCCTTTGCCAGCTAGGACATTTCAAGTCTCTTCTCTCTACAGCAGCTCTCCGGCAGCTTCTCTCAGTCAAACAGGGGCGTTGTCTAGAGCACGCCATCCCTAGAGCTGGCTGCTGCTGAGCAGACTGACAGCTGCTGGCTGTACAGATGCTTCCTGGTTCCTGCTCTGCACACACAACGTGTGACCACAGGCCTTGAGTGCATTGGGGGGTATTTTTCAAGCTTTTTAAAAAGCTGCCTACAGTGCAGAAAAACTTATCCCCGTGATGACCACATCTCTGTTTGGAACAGCATCAACCAGAGTGTCTTGCTGACATCTTATGTATCTGGTGTGCTGATGTCTTGACCATGGTTCTCGTCTGTTTGGGGTTTTTTATTATTATTATGATTATTATTATTATTATATGTTTTAATTTTTCAGCATCTTGTTTACAATTTTTGTCTGAAGTTTGTTTTCTCATGTTTTGTCATTCCCTAGACTTAGTCTTCTTGTTAAATATACATGGATCTGAAATATTAGTATAAAGAAACAAGTCCTGTAAACAAGGTATATCTTGCCACATTTTAAAAACAAACTAGTGTCCTTGAGTTACTTGACAAAACTGTACCAGGTCAGCCAGAGGGAGATAGGCAGGGCCACCGTCAGAGCAGCGCATTGCTCAAGGAGGCCGTGGTGTCTCCCGGTGTGTGTCCTTGTTCCCACCGCCTCCCTCTGAGCTTGGTTGCATTCCCATTCCCATTTTGTCAGCTTTGTCAGCAGGTGGCAAATAAGATTGCTCTGATTCCCCAGTTCCAAGTGCAGATTCAAAAACTACACAAACAGTTGAACACAGTTTGGTGATTTGCACCAAACTGAATTGTGGAATTTGCATTTGGCTTTGACCCTCAAGCACTTGAAATTTTTAGCAATATATTGACTTCAAATGTTTGGGACCAGAAATGTTTTTTATAAGATGTTAGAATATTTGTGACTACAGAATAAGGTATCTTGGGGGAGAGGACTCCAGTCTAAACGTGGGATTCCCTTCTGTTTGACACATGCCTGTACACATGAGGGCAGTGCCTGCAGTATTGATCGCCTGTGAGGTCGGATGTGGGATTTTCCACTGATGTCGAATCACTGCTCAAGAAGTTCTCGATTCTGGAGCAGTTCAGGTTTCAGATTCTTGAAATGAGAACATTACACCTGCATTTCCACATTTGTATCTAGCTATACAGCGTGCCCCCTGCGGCCCTTTCACTAACTGTTGGCAGGTTTGTGATACCATCCTGTGTTTAAAGTCTGAATATAAGAAATTTTGAATCTCCTTTTGTGCAGGAGTGAGACTTTGTTCTAGTTGCTCTTGGCGAATTCTGGTGAAAAGTTGAAACTCTCACAAAGAGGGTTGCCCTCGAGGGCCTCTGTGCAACCTTGCGGAGGAGCTTTTTCTGGTCCTGCCTCTCTTTAAAGATGTCGGCTTAGTTGTGACACCATGCAATCCACATCCCTGGGAAACCCATCAAATTACAAGCTGGCCGCTGTCTGGTTGTGCCAGCACAGGCTTTATGAACACACTGATGACCTGTTTCCCAAAAAGAACTGAATTGTGGAATTTAGTTCTGCTCTTGGGAGGGGCAGGGGCATGGCTTCAGTCCTGGCCATTCTCTAACCTCATCCATGGAGCGTGTGTCAGGCCCCACCTTACGGGGCTCAATGTTGGCAGTTCTGGAAAGGGCCACCTTCCACTTGATGCTCCAAAAGGCATCCATAACATGTTCCTTTTCTTAAGCTGGGTTGCGAGTTGAAACATCTTTCTTACACTTTATGGCTGTAACAGTACCACGCGTTCAAATAATGCTGAAATATAGAGGCTGTAAGCCTGTGGTTGCCTCAGCACTCTCAGAAGCTCACAGCTCAGTGACCCCTATCTTTCCAGAGAGTTTTACATTTAAACAAAACACTCATTACCACTTGCTTCTATTTGAAGGCATACTCTTCCTTCAGATGTCCCACCGAAGTCCCACCCGTCTTATCTCCCGTGACCTGAGTAGATGCCACCCTTTGTCACAGTGTTAGAATTACCTTTGAAGGGAGTAGCCGAACAAGATTCCTGAACAAACATTGGCATTAGTTGTTACTCTGCCCTTAGCAGTCTCTGGTGCAGATGTGCCTGGAGAGAGATGACTGGTTAAAACAGGGGCTTTCGGAAATGTTCAAACTGCAAATGGAAACTTGGTCCCACTCTCTAAAGAGGAACCTACTGGAAAAATACACAAAACGGTTGACAGATGGCGTGCTAGACTGACCCCATGGAATGCAGCATACCGAGGCTCTCTGCACTAAAACTTATCCCAGTGTGCACATTGACCGGTGGATGTCTATGTGACAGTGATGTGTATGTCTCTGACACCCATACAAAATAGTCACGGTTTGTATAAATGCATACATTTAAAAATACATAGGTACAGTACATCTGACATAAAACTGTAGTATGCCTGACAGACATTACTAGTGCCTAATACTGAGTATAAGTCACTGTGTATTCACGTCACCTTGGAAGGACAGTCATTGTTATAAAAGTAACCAGTGAAGTGGCATTATTTATGAATCACATCTTTGAAACTGGGCAGTAACATATGCATATATATTTTTAAATAACATTTTTCACAGTTTTCCAGAGTTACTGTTGAAATCTGTGTCGCCAAAAAAGAGAGAGAAAGAGAGACAGAAAGATGCAAGATTTTTTTTAATGATGTAGACACTCTTCAGACCCAGTGATCGACGTGTGATTTCCTGTTTGTAGATATTCAAGAGACTTTAGCAGTCACCAGCCTTAATGCATGTACAGGATATTATTGTGACTTAATTTATCTGCAGTTTTTAATCCATTCAAAATTGGAGTTTATAAACGGACTTGGACTAAATATGTCTGCCTTTCTAAGGCTGCAAACAATACATTAAATGATTTCTGTTGTACGTGAGAGAAGTCGAGTCGTACATTTAAAAAAGAAAGTTCACCAGTTTCTGTTAATATTTCACAAGGAAACCTTACAATTGAAATATTTTCAGAGTGGTATTCTGTTCCCAGCTTGGAATCTCTTTAGAGGCAACCTTGTTTCATGAATGCTCTCTCTCTCTTTCTCTCTTACTCTCTCACTTTCTCATTCTGTCTTTCTCCTTTTTTGTTTCTTTCTTCCTATGTCTTTTCTATCCTAGGTGTTGAAGTCAGGGCCTTGCACATGCTATGCAGGCTCCCTACCACTGAGCTATGTCCACAGCCCTCACTGTGTTCTGGGGTAGCTCATGGGCCATCGTTGCCAAGGCTGATATTTTTCAATAGTCCTATAGTTTCCTACTTCTGTTTTCCATTCCTAAAATATGCCCCCCACTCATGTGCACACTCTCTCATTCTCTTTCTCTCTCTCTCTCTCTGCCATACAAACACACACTTTCTCCTCTCCTCCCACTCTCTTTCTCTCTATTTTGTATCCCAAAGACTGCTGACAAGGAACCTGGAGAGTTTCCACGGATGACTACGCGGATGGATGCCTGCTCAAGTAGTAGCCCTGAGATGCTGCTCTAATGGACATTCTTCAGTTGACACAAGTCAGTTCCCTGACCACTTGTGCCAGGCTAAAACACATAATGACTATGTTTGCAATACTTGCTCAAGAAAATAAGAGAATTCCGAATGAAGGAGCTGAAATACTAGAACAGTAGCTAGGACGTGACTTGGTGCCTTATGTAGGTGAGGGGCTGCCAACCTTATTTTCCCCCTTATCTCTTCTTGCTCTTCCTTCTCCTCCCCAAGCTGAAGAAGCAGAAATAACAGAAACAAAATGGCTTCTTCATCTGATCCAGTCCGCATCCTCAGGTTTAGACATTTTATTTCCCCGCTGCACCGTCTGACACGGTCCACATGGTCTAGACAGAAAACCCAGAAAAGGTTGGGCAGTTGAGCTCCCTCATCAGTTGAGCAGAGGTCACAGGCAAGGAGAACACCTGGTCCCCAGAGGTGGCTAAGGCAAGAGGCTGGAGGCACTAGCTCCAGCGAGCACTAAGTGAAATTCTTGCAGAGGCTGGCTAAGATCTGCCCAGCAAGAAATGCCTTTCTGTTGGACAGCGTGTCGCTGAAGCCATCGGAGTCTCTTCCTGTCAGAATCCTGTTTTCAAATGTATCCCATCCTCAATCAAGCCTAGATCAACTGGAGTTTTGAAAGACATTTTTAATGGGGGTGGAGGGCTGGGGGGGGGGGGCTGACCACATAAACTGCATTTTCAACTGTTTGGAGACAGAATGTGTTTCCTGTTCCCGGAAGAGTACAGAGCTGTTCCAGTCTGAGAACACTGTTCTTGTACACACCATTGTGTGTGTCATCAGAAGGGTTAACTTGTTTGCTTGGCATGAGGTGCATTCTAAAACTCTATTCTCAAACTAATTACATCTGACCACGGTTTTGGTTTTTATTACTTAATTGGCACTTTCAACACCAAGGGGTAAATTTGGGGTCAGCTGCTGAGGGACCTACAGTCACAGCTCTTGGCAATAATAGGAATCAAGGGATTAAGCCTCCACGTGTTATCAGGAAAGCTCATCTCTTAGAGCCAATTTTAAAGACAGTGATCTGCAGGATGAATTTAAGGCATTAATTCCGAATCAAAACAGAGAGTTAAGCATCCAAGCTGGAGATGGGACCCGCAGGCATCAGACGTTATTGATGAGGTCGGAAAAGCCAAATCAAGCCCTGGTTTCCCTGCTTGCTTTCAAAATAGGAAGAGCTTATGGAGAATGGTTCATTTCCAGACACGATGTGCATGTCATTCGCGCTTTGGCTTTTCGAACAGTTCTCTTGTTACTGAAAATCACTGTGACATTCTGCTTCCTCGTTACACTTCAGTGCTTTTTCAATTTTTCATAAATCTAAAATTTCTACCAATATTTACAAACGCTTTATTTCAAATGACCAAATGAACAAGGAGAAAAACCCCAACCCAGGAATATGTGTGACTCCATGGAATGGCAGTCCTCCCCGAAAGGTGCTCGGTGTCTGCAATCATAGTCTCGAGCCTCCTCCATTCCCTCTACCTGACAGTGTGGTTACCACAGATAGGGCTTTGAGAGGTCAGTGGCTTGAAACAGGACCAGGTGGGTTTTTCAGCACACCCCCCCCCAGCCACAGCTGAGCCCCTCCCGGTCAGGACAGGAATACTGATGCTGGTTATGCATCCCTTAGAATCCCAGCGCTTCCAGTTGCATTCCGTAACACCCCCCCTTTGGAGAATGGGGTTGATTTTGTTGTTATTCTTGGGGTGTAAACTCTGTAAGTCAGATTTAGTATCTTGTCCCTTCAGTTGAACAGATTCAAGAGACAGTGCGGTTTAGAGAAACAAAACTGCGAAGCAGGAAGTCAGTAATGCTGGAGACCCCAGAAGAGCAGTAACCGGAGGCTGAGCGCTTCCCTCCGCTACACCCAGCCCTTAAGAAAGCTGCCCTTCTTGCCTCTGCGAAGTGTGGCTCCATGTCAGCCACCCTGCTGAGTGCACTGGAGGATCAGTAGATTGGGGTGCAGATGTTCAGGCTCATTGCTGTCACTCAACAGGGTTCAAGCATTACCATATGCCAGAAATTACAGGACAACCCTGAAATCCCAGCACTTGCAAGGCTAAAGTAAGAGAACTCTGAGTTCAAGACCAGCCTGGGCCTCATAGTGAGCTCAGTGTCACCCCAGATACGTAGCAAGAGCATTATCGTAAGAAGAGGCAAGGGAAAGGCACGGGCAGGCACCGGGTGTGTGATGTGGGAGGTAGGACTTTCTTATGGGATCCGGAGCTTACAGCAGGGTGGCCACAGCCCACCCTCGAGGCCTTAGGCCAGGGAAGGTAGTTGCTAGGGCATGCTTCTGTGTGTTGTCAGGAGTAGGAGGCCTTCCTGGCTATAGGTGGTGCTCTGCGGCTAACAACTGAGCTCCCACCCTCTTTACCACTCAGCTCTGGCTTTAAATCAGTGGCATCCGGATGGAAAGGGAAAAAACAACCTTGGGTTCGTGATCTGACATCTCCCACTACGTCACTGCAGTGACTGCTCAGTGCCACAGTTCAGGAACCGTGCTAGAGCGGAAGACAAGCCTCAGCCCTGTCTCTTCTCCTGTGCTCCTGAGCTTTTCCCCGGGAGACGGGGAGGTTGACTTCTCTCTATGTGGCCCTGGTGCCTGTCGTGGGGGCAGGCAGCTGCTCTGAGAGGCTTGTCCCAAGAAAGAAGATCCGTCATAGGGGACCCGGAGAGAGGAAACCTCTCAAGGGGAACCTCTCGGTGGTTTTCTCTAGTTATCTCGTGGCTGCTCAACATAATCTCTTAATTGCAGGTGAAACCTTAGTCAGAGCCAGGAGAGAGAGAAATGTCAACATGCAGGAGAACTTGCTGCTTTTCATGGCACCCAACCAGACACTAAATATTCTGACCCCAGCAAGTGGGTGAGCCATGCAGACACAACTCCTGCTTTACACTAGAGTCAAAGCCCTACGTGTGGGGATTTTCATTTCTTCTCAAACAGTAATTCAGCTCAGGGCCAGTGTGTCTCCCTTGCATCTCTAAACCAACGATTTGAGTTTAACCAAAACAAGCATGAAATGCTCCAGGGCCCCTTTTCACACCCTAGAAATCCCCTTCCTATTCTCTCCCTGGTAAGAGCAGGGCTGGAGCCACTGGGAGGCTTAGCCTGATTGAAGTTCAGACAAATACTGCTTGCTTTCCACAGGAGCCCACCATGTCACCCCATGGGAGTTGCAGGCATTGGTTGGGGCCCCGGGCCACCCTAGGTATCAGCCTGCTCTCCTTGGAGGAGCCGTTCCAGCTGGGTGCTGGATTGGCTGTCACCTTTTCTGAGGCAGGGTGTGGCGAACATATTCCTGTGAAAGGAGAGCAATTACTTGTGTTCATGGCCCAGTAAAAGTTTAACGTTGTGCCTTAGTGAAGGGATTTAAAGCTCAGCTATTTTCCCTATTATGGAGGTATCTGCTTGCCTTGGAGAACAATTATTCATGCTTATACCTGGAGCTGACATTTCGGATTCGGTATTCCCAAATCACGGGACTACCGTCAGGCCCCAAACCATTCCCAGCCCTGCATCTCAGTCCCGGAAAAGCTGTCTGCGATGAGCTCTGCTTGCATCCCACCAGACCCTGCCAGTGATCCAGCCACAGGTTTTTTGGGATAGAGCCCTTACCTATGCCTCCTGTGGGGACCTGTCTGAAGGCGGCGAAAGGGACAGAAGAGAGCCGTAAAGAGATCGCTCCTGCAGAGCAATGAGACTTGTGAAATGTACGTTTAGCAGAAACGAAAATGCTGTCCTTAGTCTTGTGTCTCTGTATTTTGACCAGTTGCTCTAAATTGAGTAACGCAGACCCCAGACGCACCTGTGCTTTGTGACACTCATTTGGGCTGCTTGTTGGTATGTTTGGATGTTCTAAAGCCCATAGTCTGTGTTGATAGTCACTCCATTATCCAGGCAGTGTTTCTGTTATGCATCAACCTTTCCAACACCCCTGATGAAGTTGTGTGCAGTTCCCCGGGTCTGAGTGTGCGACAAGAATCTTAACACAAGAACTTGATAAGGACTTACTTCCACAGAGCCATTTTTCCCAAGGACGTGCTAGTGGATCCTGAGCGGGCAGTGCAAGCCTGCAAGGGCTCTCATCTCGCAGGCTGCTTCGTTTCAGTTTTCTCCTACAGTAGAACTTGCTCCCATAGAGAGGAAGCCGCCCCTCTCCTGAATCCAGAGTGACCGATGGTGAATGGCAGAGTAGCAAGCGCATCTATTGCTAAGGCTCTGCCCAGTGGGAACGTGCATTTTGTCCGGGTCCAAAATTCACAGGAACAGAGGTGACGGAGCATGGACCACATTTGTTCCTGCCTGAGCTACATACAGTACTGTTCCTGTCATTCACAAGACACCCAAACAGCGTGGTTTCTGAACTGGATGCTCCTCTAACTGGTCTGTAACAGAATGAACGAACCTTAAAGATTTGTTAAAGAGAAGCGTTTA